TGCTTCTGCTGCTTCTGCTGCTTCTGCTGCTTCTGCTGCTTCTGCTGCTTCTGCTGCTTCTGCTGCTTCTGCTGCTTCTGCTGCTTCTGCTGCTTCTGCTGCTTCTGCTGCTTCTGCTGCTTCTGCTGCTTCTGCTGCTTCTGCTGCTTCTGCTGCTTCTGCTGCTTCTGCTGCTTCTGCTGCTTCTGCTGCTTCTGCTGCTTCTGCTGCTTCTGCTGCTTCTGCTGCTTCTGCTGCTTCTGCTGCTTCTGCTGCTTCTGCTGCTTCTGCTGCTTCTGCTGCTTCTGCTGCTTCTGCTGCTTCTGCTGCTTCTGCTGCTTCTGCTGCTTCTGCTGCTTCTGCTGCTTCTGCTGCTTCTGCTGCTTCTGCTGCTTCTGCTGCTTCTGCTGCTTCTGCTGCTTCTGCTGCTTCTGCTGCTTCTGCTGCTTCTGCTGCTTCTGCTGCTTCTGCTGCTTCTGCTGCTTCTGCTGCTTCTGCTGCTTCTGCTGCTTCTGCTGCTTCTGCTGCTTCTGCTGCTTCTGCTGCTTCTGCTGCTTCTGCTGCTTCTGCTGCTTCTGCTGCTTCTGCTGCTTCTGCTGCTTCTGCTGCTTCTGCTGCTTCTGCTGCTTCTGCTGCTTCTGCTGCTTCTGCTGCTTCTGCTGCTTCTGCTGCTTCTGCTGCTTCTGCTGCTTCTGCTGCTTCTGCTGCTTCTGCTGCTTCTGCTGCTTCTGCTGCTTCTGCTGCTTCTGCTGCTTCTGCTGCTTCTGCTGCTTCTGCTGCTTCTGCTGCTTCTGCTGCTTCTGCTGCTTCTGCTGCTTCTGCTGCTTCTGCTGCTTCTGCTGCTTCTGCTGCTTCTGCTGGCTTCTGCTGCTTCTGCTGCTTCTGCTGCTTCTGCTGCTTCTGCTGCTTCTGCTGCTTCTGCTGCTTCTGCTGCTTCTGCTGCTTCTGCTGCTTCTGCTGCTTCTGCTGCTTCTGCTGCTTCTGCTGCTTCTGCTGCTTCTGCTGCTTCTGCTGCTTCTGCTGCTTCTGCTGCTTCTGCTGCTTCTGCTGCTTCTGCTGCTTCTGCTGCTTCTGCTGCTTCTGCTGCTTCTGCTGCTTCTGCTGCTTCTGCTGCTTCTGCTGCTTCTGCTGCTTCTGCTGCTTCTGCTGCTTCTGCTGCTTCTGCTGCTTCTGCTGCTTCTGCTGCTTCTGCTGCTTCTGCTGCTTCTGCTGCTTCTGCTGCTTCTGCTGCTTCTGCTGCTTCTGCTGCTTCTGCTGCTTCTGCTGCTTCTGCTGCTTCTGCTGCTTCGCTGCTTCTGCTGCTTCTGCTGCTTCTGCTGCTTCTGCTGCTTCTGCTGCTTCTGCTGCTTCTGCTGCTTCTGCTGCTTCTGCTGCTTCTGCTGCTTCTGCTGCTTCTGCTGCTTCTGCTGCTTCTGCTGCTTCTGCTGCTTCTGCTGCTTCTGCTGCTTCTGCTGCTTCTGCTGCTTCTGCTGCTCTCTGCTGCTTCTGCTGCTTCTGCTGCTTCTGCTGCTTCTGCTGCTTCTGCTGCTTCTGCTGCTTCTGCTGCTTCTGCTGCTTCTGCTGCTTCTGCTGCTTCTGCTGCTTCTGCTGCTTCTGCTGCTTCTGCTGCTTCTGCTGCTCGCTGCTTCTGCTGCTTCTGCTGCTTCTGCTGCTTCTGCTGCTTCTGCTGCTTCTGCTGCTTCTGCTGCTTCTGCTGCTTCTGCTGCTTCTGCTGCTTCTGCTGCTTCTGCTGCTTCTGCTGCTTCTGCGCTTCTGCTGCTTCTGCTGCTTCTGCTGCTTCTGCTGCTTCTGCTGCTTCTGCTGCTTCTGCTGCTTCTGCTGCTTCTGCTGCTTCTGCTGCTTCTGCTGCTTCTGCTGCTTCTGCTGCTTCTGCTGCTTCTGCTGCTTCTGCTGCTTCTGCTGCTTCTGCTGCTTCTGCTGCTTCTGCTGCTTCTGCTGCTTCTGCTGCTTCTGCTGCTTCTGCTGCTTCTGCTGCTTCTGCTGCTTCTGCTGCTTCTGCTGCTTCTGCTGCTTCTGCTGCTTCTGCTGCTTCTGCTGCTTCTGCTGCTTCTGCTGCTTCTGCTGCTTCTGCTGCTTCTGCTGCTTCTGCTGCTTCTGCTGCTTCTGCTGCTTCTGCTGCTTCTGCTGCTTCTGCTGCTTCTGCTGCTTCTGCTGCTTCTGCTGCTTCTGCTGCTTCTGCTGCTTCTGCTGCTTCTGCTGCTTCTGCTGCTTCTGCTGCTTCTGCTGCTTCTGCTGCTTCTGCTGCTTCTGCTGCTTCTGCTGCTTCTGCTGCTTCTGCTGCTTCTGCTGCTTCTGCTGCTTCTGCTGCTTCTGCTGCTTCTGCTGCTTCTGCTGCTTCTGCTGCTTCTGCTGCTTCTGCTGCTTCTGCTGCTTCTGCTGCTTCTGCTGCTTCTGCTGCTTCTGCTGCTTCTGCTGCTGTTCTGCTGCTTCTGCTGCTTCTGCTGGCTTCTGCTGCTTCTGCTGCTTCTGCTGCTTCTGCTGCTTCTGCTGCTTCTGCTGCTTCTGCTGCTTCTGCTGCTTTGCTGCTTATGCGGCTTCTGCTGCTTCTGCTGCTTCTGCTGCTTCTGCTGCTTTGCTGCTTCTGCTGCTTCTGCTGCTTCTGCTGCTTCTGCTGCTTCTGCTGCTTCTGCTGCTTCTGCTGCTTCTGCTGCTTCTGCTGCTTCTGCTGCTTCTGCTGCTTCTGCTGCTTCTGCTGCTTCTGCTGCTTCTGCTGCTTCTGCTGCTTCATGCTGCTTCTGCTGCTTCTGCTGCTTCTGCTGCTTCTGCTGCTTCTGCTGCTTCTGCTTCTGCTGCTTCTGCTGCTTCTGCTGCTTCTGCTGCTTCTGCTGGCTTCTGCTGCTTCTGCTGCTTCTGCTGCTTCTGCTGCTTCTGCTGCTTCTGCTGCTTCTGCTGCTTCTGCTGCTTCTGCTGCTTCTGCTGCTTCTGCTGCTTCTGCTGCTTCTGCTGCTTCTGCTGCTTCTGCTGCTTCTGCTGCTTCTGCTGCTTCTGCTGCTTCTGCTGCTTCTGCTGCTTCTGCTGCTTCTGCTGCTTCTGCTGCTTCTGCTGCTTCTGCTGCTTCTGCTGCTTCTGCTGCTTCTGCTGCTTCTGCTGCTTCTGCTGCTTCTGCTGCTTCTGCTGCTTCTGCTGCTTCTGCTGCTTCTGCTGCTTCTGCTGCTTCTGCTGCTTCTGCTGCTTCTGCTGCTTCTGCTGCTTCTGCTGCTTCTGCTGCTTCTGCTGCTTCTGCTGCTTCTGCTGCTTCTGCTGCTTCTGCTGCTTCTGCTGCTTCTGCTGCTTCTGCTGCTTCTGCTGCTTCTGCTGCTTCTGCTGCTTCTGCTGCTTCTGCTGCTTCTGCTGCTTCTGCTGCTTCTGCTGCTTCTGCTGCTTCTGCTGCTTCTGCTGCTTCTGCTGCTTCTGCTGCTTCTGCTGCTTCTGCTGCTTCTGCTGCTTCTGCTGCTTCTGCTGCTTCTGCTGCTTCTGCTGCTTCTGCTGCTTCTGCTGCTTCTGCTGCTTCTGCTGCTTCTGCTGCTTCTGCTGCTTCTGCTGCTTCTGCTGCTTCTGCTGCTTCTGCTGCTTCTGCTGCTTCTGCTGCTTCTGCTGCTTCTGCTGCTTCTGCTGCTTCTGCTGCTTCTGCTGCTTCTGCTGCTTCTGCTGCTTCTGCTGCTTCTGCTGCTTCTGCTGCTTCTGCTGCTTCTGCTGCTTCTGCTGCTTCTGCTGCTTCTGCTGCTTCTGCTGCTTCTGCTGCTTCTGCTGCTTCTGCTGCTTCTGCTGCTTCTGCTGCTTCTGCTGCTTCTGCTGCTTCTGCTGCTTCTGCTGCTTCTGCTGCTTCTGCTGCTTCTGCTGCTTCTGCTGCTTCTGCTGCTTCTGCTGCTTCTGCTGCTTCTGCTGCTTTCTGCTGCTTCTGCTGCTTCTGCTGCGTCTGCTGCTTCTGCCTGCTTCTGCTGCTTCTGCTGCTTCTGCTGCTTCTGCTGCTTTCTGCTGGCTTCTGCTGCTTCTGCTGCTTCTGCTGCTTTCTGCTGCTTCTGCTGCTTCTGCTGCTCTGCTGCTTCTGCTGCTTCTGCTGCTTCTGCTGCTTCTGCTGCTTCTGCTGCTTCTGCTGCCTTCTGCTGCTTCTGCTGCTTCTGCTGCTTCTTGCTGCTTCTGCTGCTTGCTGCTGCTTCTGCTGCTTCTGCTGCTTCTGCTGCTTCTGCTGCTTCTGCTGCTTCTGCTGCTTCTGCTGCTTCTGCTGCTTCTGCTGCTTCTGCTGCTTCTGCTGCTTCTGCTGCTTCTGCTGCTTCTGCTGCTTCTGCTGCTTCTGCTGCTTCTGCTGCTTCTGCTGCTTCTGCTGCTTCTGCTGCTTCTGCTGCTTCTGCTGCTTCTGCTGCTTCTGCTGCTTCTGCTGCTTCTGCTGCTTCTGCTGCTTCTGCTGCTTCTGCTGCTTCTGCTGCTTCTGCTGCTTCTGCTGCTTCTGCTGCTTCTGCTGCTTCTGCTGCTTCTGCTGCTTCTGCTGCTTCTGCTGCTTCTGCTGCTTCTGCTGCTTCTGCTGCTTCTGCTGCTTCTGCTGCTTCTGCTGCTTCTGCTGCTTCTGCTGCTTCTGCTGCTTCTGCTGCTTCTGCTGCTTCTGCTGCTTCTGCTGCTTCTGCTGCTTCTGCTGCTTCTGCTGCTTCTGCTGCTTCTGCTGCTTCTGCTGCTTCTGCTGCTTCTGCTGCTTCTGCTGCTTCTGCTGCTTCTGCTGCTTCTGCTGCTTCTGCTGCTTCTGCTGCTTCTGCTGCTTCTGCTGCTTCTGCTGCTTCTGCTGCTTCTGCTGCTTCTGCTGCTTCTGCTGCTTCTGCTGCTTCTGCTGCTTCTGCTGCTTCTGCTGCTTCTGCTGCTTCTGCTGCTTCTGCTGCTTCTGCTGCTTCTGCTGCTTCTGCTGCTTCTGCTGCTTCTGCTGCTTCTGCTGCTTCTGCTGCTTCTGCTGCTTCTGCTGCTTCTGCTGCTTCTGCTGCTTCTGCTGCTTCTGCTGCTTCTGCGGGCTTTGGCTTTTTTCCCCCCTCCCATCCCACTCTTCCTCAGGCGCATCAAACCACTCTTCCTCTCCCCCACTCCCCTCCCTCTGCTTCACCCGTTCTGCAACCCCTCCCATAACCACACGCCCCTCCGCCTCTCTCCCCTCTCCCCCTCCCCTCCCCGCACCTACCCCTGCTCGGGCTTGCTCAGACAATCCTGCTGCAGTCTCACTTCCCTGCTCCCTCTGATAGCCCCCTGCTGCTGCTCCTACCCCCTCCCTCTCATGCACCCCTACAGCTGCTCCTGCCTGTGTTTCCCTCTCAGGTGACCCGAAACCCACCCCCCTTTCATTTGCTTCTACTGCTGCCTCTGCAACAGCAGCCAGCGTTGTCAGCCGGCCGCCCCTGCTCCCCTTCCTGCTCCTTGGTCTACCGAACACACTCTGAGTCTCCTGCGTGCCGAGGGGAGATGTTGAGGGATCAACGGGAGAACCAGCAGAAGCAGCAGCTGCTGATGCTGCTGCTCCTGTTGGAGTAGCTGCATGTGGGGAGTGCAGGTGTGAGGGCTGGTGGGGCGACTGCAATACAGGTTCCATCCACTCGGGTTGCTCCACAGTGTCATCCTCATAGCCGGGCATCAACTCTCCCTTGAGTGACTTGGTCTTTGCCTCTGCCAGCAATTTCTGAGATTGGGCAGGGAGGTTGCGCAGTTTGAGAGGAAAGTAAGTATGGAAACGAGGGGAGAGAGCAGGGATTGTTAAAAAATATCATCTGAGCATGGGTTAGCGAAAGAAAGTGCTTTATTGTCAACACCCCCTTCACTCGGAGCGACCTAAACCACTGTACTCAATTGTGCACACCCAAGATTCGAACCCAGGACCTTTGACTCTGAACCATACCTGAACGTTCCAGTGGTCGACTTGCTGAGTAGCCAAATCCAGATCCAGATGCTCGTCCACGTAGATATATGCGTAGTTCAAATCCCCAGGCGACAGCCCGAAGCTGACCGTAACAATCATCTTTTGCAGCGTTCCCGTGACAATGGGCGCGATGATGTGTGAGCACACAGACATGATGGCCGCCGGGAGAAAGAAGAGCGTGTCCCACACGAAGATGATGGCGCAGTGGAAGAAATAGGCCCACCAGTCCACCTGGCGTGCGTAGCGCGTGGGAGGCTTGGGGAAGGGCGCCCATGGGGTCTGCTTCAGGAGTTTTGTTAGGTGGGGGAAGACGTAAGCGCGCGTGATTGGCTCCATGGATAGCGCTAGACTGGCCTGTTAATTTGAGGGAAAAAAAAAAAATGATCGAGCCAACAAAACAATAGAAACACACACACGCACACACGCGCGCCCACTCACACACGTGCGCACACACACACACGCACACTCACTCAGACACACACGCACACGCGCGCGGCACACACACACACACCCACACACACACACACACACACAAAGGAAAGGGGATTATGAATGGAAGGGACAAGGAGGTGGGGGAGGGAGGGATGGGGCCGGGTGGCGGGGTGATGGAGGGGGGAGGGGGAGGGTTGGGGAGATCTTGGAAGAGGGATGGTAAATTGGCAGAGAGAAATGAGGGAAGGATTGATGGTGTGTTGTAGTGAGGACTGGAGATTTGAAGCAAGGAGAAAATGGTGGGGAAGGAGGGGAAAGGGAGTTGGTGGAGAGGGGAGGGTGGACTGATTGTTGTGTGAGGATGAGAGTTGGTTGAAGTGCAAGGAGGAGAGTGGATTGAGGTGTGAGGAGGAGTGAGGAGGAGTGGGAAGGAGTGAGGGTAGATATAAGTATGAGTGAGTATGGGGGCCTCCTCACCTCATCGAGCTTGCCGGCATGAATGACGAGAGCAGACATGGCCGGCGACCAGTCAAAGCTTGGCTTGTGGTAGAGATTGCCGCTGTAGAACACTGTGGTGCGCAAAACCTGTAACAAAAACAAAAACAAAAAAAACAAAAACAACAACTATCAAAGAGTTAAGCACCCAGTGTAATTATGCGCATGTACACTTATTTCGTTGTAACTATGTCGCTGCATACTTACAACCTGACTTCACCTATACCCTCACTCACCGAGATTTTGCATACTTCACATTGATGAGGAGTAACAGAGTACCAGTGGCGATGAGGAGTGAACTTCAATCTACCTCGTTACAATGTCACATGGAATTTGAGCCGGCTACGAATTCAATTCGTGTACTCACATCCATGACTTGCTTCACATTGATGAGAAGCATGATTCCAGTGACTGAAATTCGCGTGACTCAGAAGTTACCTCGTTACAATGTCACACAGAATATGAGATGGCTTTGAAGTCACCTCGCGCACTGTACTGTACTCACATCCATGACTTGCTTCACATTGATGAGAAGCATGATTCCCGTGGCAATGATGAAAGGAGCGGCACTCTGGCCATAGAAGCTGGAATTTGAGGGGTTGGGACGAATAGAAGGAGAGGCGAGAGGAGATTAGGGAGGATGAGCAATATACATACACAAGAAAAAACGCAGGCTGTTAAAAAAAAAAAAAAAAAGAGAGAGAGAGAGAGGACCATTCGAGAGAGAGGAAGAAAGAAAGAAAGAAAGAAAGAAAGAAAGAAAGAAAGAAAGAAAGAAAGAAAGGGTCAGGTGTTTATATTCATACAACAGCAACTACTCACTCTTCCGGCCTGCCTGCGATTAGCAGCATGATGATTTGCCAGATGGACGTGTAGACGAGAATGAAGATATACAGCAGCACCACCGAGAACGCCGTCGACACGAGGAGCCACAGAAAGCCGTTGCTCTGCCACTTTTTGATGTAGAAGGGCGTGCCGAGGAAGACGAGGGCGCCGAGGGCGTTGGTGATGGGCGAGGTGGCGTGGCGGAACGCCAGGAAGCGGCTCTGCCGCACTGCCGGGAGGCGCAGCAGCGAGTCCAGCCACTGCTGGTACGCCCACGGGTAGCTCTCCTTCACCCCGCTCGCCCTCTGCCCGTTGAACCTGGGGAGGAGGGGAGGGGTAGTGGGGGGTTTTGAGAGCGGGTTTGGAGTGGAAGGGGGAGAGAAGGCCGAAGAGACTGAAAAAAAAGGTCGCTGATTGATGTTCCTCACTCTTTCAGAATGATGGTCATGGTCGCTTACCATCGTCACATGTTCGTTACTTCTTATTCAATCCCTCAAATACACTCACTCACTCCCTCCGTTGCTGCATGAATTGCAACCTCCATCCCTCATTGACTCCCTCACTCACCCTCGGAACATCGAGTCACCGTCGGAACAAACTCACCCTCGGAAGACGATGAGGAAGGGGAAGAAGCGCCACCACGATCCGCGCATGTCTATTCGCCGCCACTTCTTGATCAGCTCGTAACTCCGCCTGTGCGCCGCCCAAAACTGCCTCGCCACCGCCGGATGCCACTCGCCCTTCGGCCGCCGCCCCAACTTTGCCATGTACTGTTAAAATGGGAGGGAGGGTGGGGGAGGGGTAATGAAGAGAGCAAAAGAGGAGGGCGGCCCAACTTTATCATGTGTTGCAAATGTGGGCGGAAAGCAGGAATAAAGGGGGGAGGACGGGCAAAAATCATTACAAATAAGGTTTGCACTAAAGCCCTCTTTTCACTTACCAGTTCGATCGTCTTGAGCATCACATTGCCGCCGTGAGAATGCGCCACCAGGTGGATCCGAGCTGCCGGGTCGTTCTGAGCAATTTGGTCGATCAAATTGTGCAGCTGAGGGAGGGTGGTGGGGCAGGCAAGGAAACATATTGTACAAAAAAGCCGAACATAAGGAACAAAACAAAACAACCCATATCTCGCTCTCCGAAAAAGAAAAGGAACAACAGTTTGGTAACTGCACAGCGGGAAAAGGGAAAGCAAATGGCAGACCAACTTTAAGTGGCTCGATAGAAAGAGGTTGGTTGCGGAAAAATGTTGAGGAACAATATTCCCAGGAAGTATTGCGAGGGTAAGATGAAGGCGAAGCATGTTTTCCAAAAAACTCCAGTTACCCCTGAAAGAACAGAGACCCGAAGGAAACAGTTTTCCTGTTGGTCTCCTTCCCCTCCTGCCCGCAAACTACACGTCTCTCGCCCTCAAACTCCTCCCCATCTTTATTTCCCGCCACCCCTCCCTCCCCCCTCCCGAAAATAGTATTCCATGCTTGCAGCTTTCCCCGTTCCGGGTAGTTGTGAGATTACGCGCCAACAGATGGGCGCGGGACTTGCGGAAGCGGAGCGATTCCAGGGGAGAAACAAGAAAGTAGGAATCTTCAACAACAGATGCGGCCAACTTAGGGTTGCGATTACTCTACTGATTCGGGGGATCGCGGAAACGCTTACGGCAGCGAGTGGGGTGTATTTTGTCAATCGCTCTAAAAAATACACACTATTCAATTTAGGTCATGAACTTTCGCCCGCTAAATTCGCCCACGCTTGTCGCCACCACGCGTTACCACGCCGAATGCGGTCGCGGCTAACTCCCACACACCTCACCGCAATCTTCGGCCATTATTAACAACTTTTTTTTTTAATCTTCGGACTCTGTGATGACTCTTTGGCGATTCTTTTCGGCGACTATCTTGCGACTCTCTGGCGACTCTCTGCGACGATCTAGCGACATTATCTTTGGAGATCTGCCGCGACGACGCCACCTCCCACACCCGTCACCTCCCCCTTTCCTCCCCTCCTCCGCTCACCTTCCTTCTCGTTTCCTCCGCTCACCTTCATCGCGGCCGTTACGCGGTCGGCGTGCATGTTGGTGCCGTCCCAGTGGAACGGGTACGGGATGCCCGGGAGCGCGGAGCACGGCAGGTCGCGCCAGATGGCGTCCTCGCCAATGGATCCCAGCGCGAGCAGCCGGCTCAGCTTCCGGCAGAAGTTCTGCTCGCCGGGAGCCGGCGGTTGGTACCACGTCGGCGCGCCGTCCGGCGGCGGCGCGTCGAACGTCCCGTGGATCACGATTATGTAGTGGTTCTCGCTCTTCGCGTCGAAGTCCGCGGTGCGCACGGGGATCGCCGCTTCGATGTCCTTGCCGTCCGCGCCGTCTCTCCGTCCGCTCCGACTACCACTAGTACTTCCCGAAATCGATTTCGCAAACATAGACTGCGAGGTGCTTCGGTCTCCGTTTTCGTCGCCGTCGTGATCCTCGGCCCCGCCAGTGGCTTTAATGTGCCCGCCGCAAGGTATGCACGAAATGTGCGCGCTTCGAGCTCCTTGCCACAGTCCCTTCCGTTCCAGTTGATCGTCAGCTTCTGTGGCATCTGTCGGTTTGTTGATTAACGCCCGCCAAAGACCCCGCCGCCGTCGACGGCTAGTCGAGAGATCAGCCGAGACGCCATCGACGGCGACTCCGCTTCCGCTTGTCGTTTCGTCGTACGACGACGTTGTTACATCGTCATTTTCGGCGTGCGACTCGCCTGCGACGTCTCCAGCGACTTCGCGCATTGGTTCGGCGCCGTAAGCAGCTGTTTGGCTTGCAGCGCCGTTTCTTGACTCAACCACTATCGACACGCGTTCGTCCTCCATTTTCCTAAAAGCGGTATGATTGGTCATTCCAGAAGCTTCCGTCGTTAAAGCATTCTTTTACCAAATGATGTCACCATTTTAACGAATCCAGTCTGCACCTAACGCGTTAGAATATAATAGCTTGGCGAAACGGCCAGGCACGGAGACTATGAGCTGCAGTTTGGAATTTTGAACGGCAGTATAGAACGGCGACTATGAACAGCAACACTCTGTGGTTGCTAGAGATAGTCTAGACTGGCAGTGAACCAAACAGGAATATTGCTGGGGGTGTGAATGGCGTGTGGACACTGGACAAGCTTTTCTTCTGTGTGGTGTGGAGTGGGCTGGTGCAACGCTGGTACAGTGACAACAGTCATCACAGCCCAGGGTCTTGGTTGCTTGTTCCGGACCGGAAGGAACACTGTGGGCAAGCCAACGTGGGTACAGTGCATAACTGTATGTTGTTAGAGGCGTAGGCTGTGTGATTGTCCTTGTGAAAGCAGCTCAGAAATTGTACGGTCAAAATATTTAAATAACAGTTACTCTCCCGAACTACCCACCTTGGTGGGGCTTGTTATTTTCGCTTGGGCGTGGGTCGCGGGTGCCCATGGAGTGGATTCAAAACGGTACGGTTGTTTCTAAAACGATCTAGTAAGATGTTGCCGCTTGCAAGAAAGCTGTCACTGTAGTTCAGGTGACTCGTATCGGAAACCTGATGGGACGCACGAAAAGAATCTTCGACCTAGATGCGATGAACATGGCAACCAGTTGACTTGCTTCCATTCCCTTCCAGCAAAACGATCTGCCTTCCATCCTTTCACTACTACACCCTCTTTCTCACCTATCTCACCGGCGGAAGCACTTGCTACAGTGTTTGGACGTAGCGGGCTGGTGAGATAACTCGGTTGTGGGTAAAGTCGCACGAGGGTTTGAAACACGCCTTGGGCGGTAAAAAACCATTAACGTTGAATAACGATCCAAACCGCTTTGAAAACAACAGTACCGTTCTAGAACGTAAAAAACCTTGACTAAACACCCTGGGTCAAATTGTCACTATAACGCATGTGATAGGACCTTCTTGGGTCCGATGCGGTCACACTAAGCGTCTCTGTCAGTATAACATGTGCCAGTCTATCGAGAATGAGGGTGTACTGAAAAGTGGTTGGTTTTTTCTAGGGTAAATGCGGAACGTTGGCCTATAATCGTTGGCCTCGTGGAGGAGCCAGAAACAACCTTGTCTGCCATCGGGTGGCGGCATCACAATTGCGTTGACATTTGGTGTTGTTGACATTTGTACAAGACAAGCCTTCATTCTCCCTCTGGTTCTGAAGGCAGCATGCTAAACAACACGGCACCTTGCTTCTCGAAGTTTCACTGCTGAGTGAGTGGGCGGTGGTTGACGCGCATCTGGCAATTGGTGGCGGTGGGATAAGTAAATGAGTGCCCAGGTTGTTCTTCTTTCAAACCACCAGAGCAAAAACCCTTCGTTCCCACCAGTGCACCCTCGTGAGATTGTCTTCCAGAGATGCGGGGCAGTCTACGGTTCAGCTACAGCTGGTCTTCGTTTCAGATAGCAGAAACTCCATAATGTTCAAAACAATATCGCATTTCTGTATTTAACATTAAACGTACACACAAAACACAAAACACACAGATAACACATATCGAATCGAACAGTGGCGGCTTTGATTGAGAAAACGCTGTAAAGAATTCTGGTTCTGTGCCAACGCAACACGTTCTCGTTAGTGGCATTCTCAGCTCAAACAGTAAAGACAACGGACAACAACACAAACTCTCATCTTGTCACATTCAGTAAGTGCTGTACCAACTCTATCTATCACACGATGTGAGAGATGGGTCTGACGAGCATGTTACTGGCATTGCATAATCCTTTGTCACTGAAATGAATAACAAGAAATCGATGAATATAGCTTCCATGCATCTAGAGAGGGAATTGGGTAACCATCTGTATGGCATAATCAGCTGTACCGTACCGTACCGTTCCAATGCCCCCCCGACCAGCTCGTGCTTTCACCAGAATTCCAGCTGAAGAACCCGACTAACCGAAAGACCAATCATTGCCTTGCCTCGGGAATAGAACACCCAAGTAGCATGCACTACAACAGTCACTGCTGCATTGCACAGGCAAACATAAATGACTCAGCCTAACACACACAGCCTAACCCCAAATCCGACCCCATTTTGAGCTGCCTCTTGAGTAGTAGTCTAGCAGGCAACAATTCACTTCTAAAACATATACGGTACCACGCCATACCCAATCTCACTGCACCTGTCACCACACCTCTAACCCAGGCAGAACGAGGTGGTTCTGCCATTGGTGGTATGGTGCTTCTGCTGCTCCCACTGCTGCTCCCACTGCTGCTGCCACTGCTGCAACACCTGCTGAGCTGACTCTGCTGGCACTACTGGACGTAGCTGCGACAACTGATGAATAATGGGATCAGCCACAGAGAAAATCTTCTGCTGGAACACCAATAAATAAGCTCTGAGCTACTGAGGCTGCTGGCGAGCAGCCGCTCGGAGGAGGGTGTGGAAGCGAGTGTGTGACTAGTGCGTGAAGGCAAGCGATCATGCTTGGCTAGTGTGTGACGATCCAATGAAAGCAAATGCAAAGTATAGTGTGATACACAGTGCGCGCATTGAGGAGGAAACGAAGCTGGTGTGTGAGAAGGAGCTGCGTGCGACTTGTGTGCGAGGAAGAGTAGAGGCAGTTGAGGAGGAATAGAGGTTTGTGTGTGAGGAGGAACAGAGGCAATTGGTGAGGAGGAGGTGTGTGAGGAGGAACGGAGGCTAGTGTGTGCGGAGGAGGGAGGCTAGTGAGTGAGTAGGAACTGGAAGGTGCTGTTGTCTCGAATGGCTGGTGGCAGCTGCAGCGACCGCAGGTCTATCTCGTGGGTGCTCTTTGAAATGTCCTCCACAGAAAAGGGGATGCTGAGGTGCATAGGGAGAGAAGGGAGGGGTGGGGAGAAGAAAGAGGGGGACGTGAGGAGAAAGGGGGCCAATCCTGTGAGTGCTCTTTTATATGTCTTCCACAGAGAAGGGGATGGTGGGTTGAGCAGGGAGGAGAGGGGGGGGAGGAAAAAGCAGAGAACTTTGACAATGACTTCAGTGGACAGGGTGAGGATGCCATACTTGTTGACTTATGAGTCGACTCAAAAGTCAACTTTGACAATGACTTCAGTGGACAGGGTGAGGATGCCATACTTGTCGTGTTGGTGTTACTTTAGAGAGTTCTCAAACTTAACACATACATAGCTGGACTGGACACGGTGGGGATGCCATACTTCGTGTTGGTGTTACTTTAAAGAACGTAACACATACATAGCTGGACTGGACACGGTGGGGATGCCATACTTATCGTGTTGGTGTTACTTTAAAGAATTCTCAAACGTAACACATACATAGCTGGACTGGACACGGTGAGGATGCCATACTGATCGTCCCAGTACATGAAAGCACCTTTGTTCTGCAGACATCTCAAGACACTACCCTCCTCTCACCCACCTGGAATCGTCGTCCAATAGGAACGAGTTGCTGACGGAGGCGCTGTTCTCGTCGCTCATACGCCGTCGCATCTCCGAAATCACTTCAGAGGACACGGTGTGAGTGCCGTACTTGTCATCCCAGTACATGGTGCTGATTCGGTACAGCTGCTGTATGCTCAGCGCCGGGCACAAGTCTGAGGTGATCTCCTGCATGCTCTTCTTCGGCTTCTGGTGAATCACCTGGTGGAACCGAGGGAGGGGGGAAAGGGGAGAGGGGGAAACGGGGAGAGGGGAGCGGGGAGGGGAAGGGGGAGGAGGGGGGGAAGGGGGAAAGAGGGGAGTGAACAGGGGTAGAGAGGGAGAGAGGGGGAGAAGGGGACACGGTGTGTGTGCCGTACTTGTCATCCCAGTACATGGTGCTGATGCGGTACAGCTGCTGTATGCTCAGCGCCGGGCACAGGTCTGAGGTGATCTCCTGCATGCTCTTCTTGGGCTTCTGGTGAATCACCTGGTAGCGTGGCGCGGATGGGGGAAGGGGAAGAGAAGGTACAAGAGTTCAGATGTGCTCTCCTCCATGCTCTTCTTGGGCTTCTGGTGTATCACCTGGTGGCGCCCCGTGCATGGGGGAGGGAGGAGGGGGAGAAAAAGAGAGGGGAGGAGAGGGGGAGAGCGAAAAAGGAAGAGATGGGGAGAGGGGGACGGGAGGGTGGGAATCAAGAGCGTTTTGAGTAAACTCAAAGGTGAGAAATTTATGAGAACTCTAAAAAATCGCTCCAGATTGACCTCGGTAGTGGTAAAAATCACTACGAGTTTCTCATAGAGGGTACCTGGTACTACCAGGAAGCCGACAGCCTGGCGGATACACTTGAGCTCCTCCCATGCGGTGCGGTGCCCGTGTACTCATGTGCTGACTTCTGCACAGTCGTCCAACAATCTAACAATGGTACCTACCAGGAGGCCGACGGCCTCGCGGATATACTTGAGCTCCTTCCACGCATTTCCGGTGTACTCATGGGTTGCCTCGTGCAACCAGTGGTCCAGCACCCACTAAGTCTTGCGCCGATTCAACCATTAGCCAGCAGTGCAAAT